ATATATATACTTAATTATGAGAAAAGTATTCATTATTTTTCAAAAATGAAGAAATTGATAAAATAAAGGATATGAGAAAGAGTAGAAATATGCCAGTTGTATAGTCCAACATTAGGAAATGATTGAAGCAACAATATTATTGTTGTGAGAAGAGTCTATGGGAGGAGATATGAAACGGTGGAGTGAGGGCATATAATTGCAATGTGAAGGCCAACAGAGAACAATTGTCGGGAGCAAGAGATGTGGGGTTCGCCTCTCACGTAATACTTCGTAAGGGAGAGGAAGATGTTTACTAAAATTAATAGTGCACGGCAATTTAGAGTGCATGAATTATAATTTTTTTTTTCTTATTGGAGAAGGTATATCAACATGCTAGAATAAGAAGGTTACACATAGGGCTGTCAAAATCGGGTCACGGGTCGGGTTCAACCTCAAATTGACTCGACACTGTTCAACCCGACCCGAACCCGACCCGTTTTTGCAAACGGGTCAGTTTTCCGAACCCGAACCCGACTCGCTTCGGGTCCGGGTCAACCCGAACCCGACCCGCTTCGGGTGTATTTCATTAAATTTTTTTTATTTAATTCAATTTATTTAAATTTAAATCAAATTAAGGTAAGATTTGCTTCAATTAGTTTAAAATAAATCAAAATTAATTTTATTTGGACAACATTGTTTATAATTTTTTGAAATATCAATTACTTATTTCATAAAAATCCTTTAAAATTATCTTAAATTAATTAAAAATGGGTCAAATCGGTTTGATTTCGAGTTTCCGGGTCAATCCGAACCCGACCCGGTTTTACAAACAGGTCGAAATCTCTAACCCGAACCCGACCCGGTTCGGGTTGACCCAAACCCGAAATTTTATGATCGGGTTCGAGTCGGGTCAAATATTGACAGCTCTAGTTACACATGTGGTGAAAACTAAGTCAAGTTTATATATAATAGTAATATAGATGTAGATATGATCATATGAAAGTTGCTATAATAAATTTCTTTCATGAATGGGGTGTGCTTTTGATTAAACCTGACACATTTTTTTCCCGATTCAGATTCATTGAACGGTCAAATTCACCCAAAATAAATAAACGGACGAAACTAACCAAGCATTTATTGTGTTTGGTGCTGCGTTCAGTTTTGAAATATTTTCAGAGCCTATTCAAATAGGCTGTGGTTTCGAATTTAAGCCGAACTGAACCATGCAACTATTTGTAGGCCTTTCCAATTTTGTTTGATTTGATTTGAACCGTTAAAATGAGATCCGACGGTCGTGATTTGAGAAGTTTAAATTACAAAAACACGCTGATTAAATGCTGCACGTGCGTCTCATGATCTCATCCATAAGTCCACAATATTTTTTTTTTCGGAAAATTAAGGGCATAGCCCAATTCCATTAATAAAAAATAATTACAGGTAAAGAAAAGTTACATAGAAGAGAGAACAAAAAGGTGTATAAAATACACACAAGGCGCAACAAAGTAACAAAATCAGAGAACAAATGGTGTTAGAACCCAAAAAAAAAAGGGCCAGTATGTGGATTGCATCCATCCAGCACAAAAGAAATACCCGGTTGCAAATAAAGCCATCCAAGGGGAGCCAAGTTGCTTTGAGTCGTCATCCAGGGGAGAGGGGAGCAATCCACTCATCCTCGCCCCAAAATACCAAACTCGAAGCCAAAAAACCTTGATCAATAGTAGTAAAAGCAGTCGAAAAAACAAGCTCTCAGCCAAGAACAAAAAATGAGGCAGAATTTCTGCCATAACAAAATCGAACCAGCAGCTGCAAAAACCCAGGAAAATCCATCAAAAAATAGGCAACCGAGCAAAATGGCTGCAATTAGAGACTGACCAACAAAATGCTTTTTGAATTTTTCTCCATTCTTCCACCTTGATGTTTTCATCAAAACAGTTTTTCTAATAAGTTCTTTTATAATAAAAGCACTTTTATCTTTTGAAGCAAACCTTCTTTCATTCCGCTCTCGCCATATATAATAGACAGAACACCACAATATTAAGAGAGAAAGCATAACACAGTTACTTGAATGCCCTTCAAGCAGAAAATCAGCAATTTGAAACAGGTTTGGGCGAAGAAGAAAACACCTGAAGCTATGAAAAATGCCAGAAATCACAGCAAATGAAAAGTCACATTCAAAGAAAAGACGAGCCGCCGTTTCCAGTTTTTGCTTGCATAAAACACACGATGGGTCCACCAAAATATTCCACTTAATCAAAGTATCAGCTGTTTTAAGTCCACCCACCATGGTAATCCAACCAAATATAGAATATCTAAGGGCATAATGCTTGTGCCACACCGCAGCATACCAATTAACATCACATTTTTGACCCGTTTGTTAAACTTGATAGATACATGTGGACCCGCAAATCCATTTTTGACTAAAAAAATAGCATGTTTAATATTTTTTTTTTCTTAAAAATTTTAATATATGGGTATAATCTTATCATTTTTTTATTAAATATCCTAAAATATATAGTTAATAAATTAGAAAAAATTTAATCAAAATGAGTTAACGGGTCATGTTCGGGTCATTCGAGTTGCTAGCGGGTTAAGTTCATGTTGGTGTTTTTTACCCATTTATTAAATGGGTCAGATTTGTATTGACATATGCAAGTCGGGCTTGAACCCGACACATTAACCTGTTTTGACACCCCTACCATCCTGCATGAATCGTGCATGCAAGAAACTTTCATGATTATATTCAAGATCATATGAAAGTCTAATTTCATTAACATTACAGTTGAACTAAATGTCTCGATGAAATAAATCCAACAATACTAAAAATGATGACCTCATAGCAAATGCTTGATGTATTCTTAGAAGCATCATGACATTAATTAAAGTATTAAATGATATTTGAATCTTGTGTGACTATAGACAAAATGAGCATCTTGACGATAAGAATCAAATGAGCTAAAATCACTCAATTTTGTGTCATTAAGGAACATAAAAAATAATCTAATATTAAGAGAATTAGCATGAGTTGTTTGATGGAGTATTTTATAATTTTGGATAACTTTTTTAAAACACCACTCTATAAATTTATTAACAACCCTCATGCTACGCATGAAGGGGTATATATATACTTGAATTTGTAGAGAGCATAGAGATTTGAAGAACTCTAGATGCTTGATGTTGTGGTTAACAATCATTAATCATCATTACCTATGTTATGTGTGGAATCTAATTGTGTTGATCAATCTAGTTGTTATGTTGTTTCGGACCTCAAGTTTCTTATGCTCACTGAGGGGTGCAGGGGATTTACCCCCAGCTTGCACTCGATTTTTTTTTTTTCTTCTTACAATGCCCTTGCACTGTTTTCCCAAGCTCCCTAGTGCTGAGCGACAGAGAGCAGAGTGCCACAACGATATAGATACGACGCCGCAGCAGTGCAAGACAAAAGCTTGAGCACCACAGCGCTACGAGATGGACTGAATGGTTTTCTTTCTCGTTTTTCTGAGGGTTGTGTCCATTGAGGTTATTTTACTTGGTTTTTTTCTTGTATTTTGAGTAAGTAGACATTGAGAATGATGCATGTGAGAAGAGAATGAGAGAGTAAGAGAAATATAGATTTATACTTATTTCTCCCAATTTTCATAGAAAATTTCTTGGTGTGGTGTGGCTTCGTGGTTTTTTTTTTCCTTATTTTGAATTTTTTTCACATTAAATCATGATGTTCTTTCTTTCCTATGATTTTACTTTCTTACTTGTTTTGTCACTGTTGTGTTTACTTCTCATCTCCCAAACAACCTAACTTTTATCGCTTGATCATTATAGCTCGATTGTTGCCCGACTATCACAGCTCGATTGTTACCTGATCCCTTTAGTTCACTTTCCATTGCCTGATTACTATTGATTGACTACTACAACTCATCTATCATAACTCAACAATTATCACTTTATTTTCATGGTCTGACTATCTTCGTCATTCTTCATTATATCTCTCGTTAGGACTGCAAATTAACCAAACTAAGCCAAGCCGAGCATATGCTTGTTCATGTTTGAGTTCGTTTATTAATAGCTTGTTTAAACTCGATTTGAGCTTTAATATTCATGTCTAAGTTTGATTTGTTTACATTGATAGATGTTCATGCTTGGTTCTTGTTTGATTTGTTTCATGCTTATCAAGCTTTATACAAATAATCCTTATCGAGTTATAAATGAGCTCTACTTCAAGATGTCATTGACTTAGCAAACGAGCGTTGTCGACCTTACTAAGAAATAATTACATCGAGCATATTCACGAGCATATCTAGCAAGCATTTTCGAACTACCAAATGAGTTGTTTCACAAACATATATAGTGAGTGTTTTGAAGCTACCAAATGAGCCTATTTGTGAATATATCTAGCGAGGCAAGTATGTTCGCCAATATATCTAGCAAGTGTTTTTGAGCTATCAAATGAGCTCGTAAAATATAAATAAAAATAGTTGTAATATACATAATATTGATTTAATATATATTTATGATTTATTTTAAATAATATATACTATAACATTTAATTAATATCAAATTTATTAATTGATAATTATTATATCATTATATCATAATAAATATAAATTATTTATATTGGGTATGTTCATTATTTTTTAATCAAACATTAATCATATTTTTAAAAAGCTTGTTCACGAGGTTTTATCAGACAATAATCAAGCTTCATGTCGAGCTTGTTAATGAGCTTTAAAAGATGTTGTTCATGAACATAAATGAGTTGAATGCATAGTTGTTTAAATTTATTTATTTAAACATCAAGTATATACAAATATATTCAAACTTGTCACCTTAATTAAATGATTGCAAATGAGCTTTAATCAAGTCAAGCCATGGGTAGCTTGTTGAATGCTAGGTTCGTTTGCAACCCTATCTCTAGCATTCCCCGCCACATTCACAAGAAGTCAAATTTGTGTTTTATGCTTTGTAATTCAATCTTCTCCAATTGAAGTCAAATGTAGACTTATGTAATCACATTTACATAATGAATTATCTCAAATATGCCAAATCACATGATTTTTTCTCTTTCTTGATATTCAACATATTTCGAATAACTTTCTCATAACTTTGCTTTTGAAATCATAGCCAAACTTCTGTTTGGCCACTATTTTTTGCTATTTTTCAAAAATTTATGTGATGATATATGATAGTTTTTAAAATATTTTTTTAAAAATAAATATATATTTTTAATATTCACATCAATTAAAAAAAATATTTTTCTACTGATAATTTCACAAACAGTATTACAAAATATTGTAGATATTTGAAATAGAATCTAAATTAAAAACTAAGGGTGCATAAAATTTATACACATTTAGCAAATTATCAATATAAATTTTCAAAATTATTTCTAGCAAAGGCGCGCAATGCAGATGTATTAATTTCTACTCGAAAAAGCATTTAAATGCCGCAACAGCTCATCTGCTCCACTCCTTGCTCGTCCAGGTCAGTTGCAGCAGAATACGAGTCGAGCAACCAAAAAATGGCTGCCACCTCGCTGCATATTTGCCTCCTCCTCTTTCACGTCCTTCTCGCCACCGCGGGAAAATCTTCCGCAACTGCCGTTTGCTCTTCCACTGACCGAGGAGCGCTTCTGGAGTTCCGATCATCCCTCTCCGATCCCTACATTGGTGTCTTCTCCTCCTGGACTGGCGACGATTGCTGCAACAACTGGTTCGGCGTAGCTTGCGATCCGGAAACCGGTAGGGTCTCCGATCTCACCCTCCGCGGCGAATCTGAAGACCCGATTCTCACCCGCGCCGGCCGATCTGGCCTCATGACTGGCCGAATCTCGCCGGCGATCTGCCGCCTCGACCACCTCTCAACCCTAATCATCGCTGATTGGAAACAGATCACCGGCTCCATTCCTTCCTGCATCACCTCCCTCTCCGCCCTTCGTATCCTTGACCTCGTCGGAAACCGTCTCTCCGGTTCCCTTCCCCATGATATCGGAAAACTTTCTCACCTCACCGTCCTTAACATCGCGGACAACCAAATCTCCGGCTCCATTCCCAACTCCCTAACCCAGATAACCGGACTGATGCATCTAAACCTCGCCAACAACCAAATATCAGGTCCCCTGCCGTACAATTTTCCCAATCTGAATATGCTCAGCCGCGCCCTCCTCGGCCGGAACCAGATCTCTGGTGAAATCCCAGCCTCTATCGGCTTCATGAACCGCCTCTCCGACCTAGATCTCGCTGAAAACCGTCTTTCCGGCTCGATCCCTGCTTCTCTAGGATCAATGTCAGTACTTTCCTCACTCTACCTAGACAGCAACCACCTCTCCGGCGGGATTCCGGCGATGCTTTTGGGAAGTAAAGGCTTGGGTATTCTAAACCTAAGCAGAAACGTGCTTGATGGAAAGATTCCAGATGCCTTCACCTCGAGATCGTACTTTACGTCGCTGGATCTCTCGTTCAATAAGCTTCAGGGGGAAGTACCTAAGACGCTGCTCACAGCAGAGTACATTGGGCACATTGATCTCAGCCATAACCACCTATGCGGCAGGATTCCGGCCGGGTCGCCGTTCGATCACCTGGATGCGGCGTCGTTCGCTAACAACGACTGCCTCTGCAGCTGGCCTTTGAAGTCGTGCCAGTGACCAAGCTGCAATTGTTCAGTGATCGTAGCCCTTGGTTTCGGGATTGGTGGTGCATGATTTATGTTCTATAATGGTTATCATCTTATTATTATGATCATGGTATGTTGTTGGATAAAATAGAACTGAAAGAGACAGTCAAGGTGGTGTGATATTTCTTGACGCAAGGCTTCGTTTGCGACTTCTTAAACAAACTTTTAAGTATATTTTTTATAAAAAAATTTATTTTAAGAAATAGTAATAAAATCGTCCAAAATGAAATTATAAGGTGACTGAGACTGGAGTTTTTAATTTTTTATTTATAATTTTTTTGAGAATATTTTAGACTTAAGATATTTATATTAAAATTTAACATTTTATCAATATTTATAACTTTTCTTAGGTATTAATAAAAACTCCTTGAAATTTTTCTTAGTAGCATAATTTCTCTATTGAAGTATTATTTTTATGATATTGAATTTTTAACAAATGATTTGTTAAATGAAGAAATATTAGAACTAACATTTATTATTTTAACGGATTATTTGAGATAGTTTTTGATTGTTTTATTTTAAATCATAATTTTAAATTTATTTGATTATTATTTTATGCTTGAAAGTTTTTTTTTTAAGTAATTTAAAAAAAAAAGTATATTTTCCTACAACTTTCGGATCAGCTTTAAAAAAAATTACAAACCCTCTTAGGAGATCTTTAGCCTCGAATGTTAAGCAATAGTGATAAATCACAATATTATGTGTTGGCTATTATCTTACTATCACGTGGTGGTTGACACATCCCACAGTCACTCTTTAATGAACCATCATATCACCTTTTAGAAATGAGCTATAAATATATATTTGAGGAAATTAGTGAATATTTGTTATTTGATTGAAGGGGTTTTTACCTACATAACACTTAAAATTATGTTATTTACTTATTTAACACCTAAACTTATCTATTTACACTCATACCACAAAAAAGCTTTTTGCCTTTCTAAAAAACCACTCCGTCCCCTCTCCGTAAACCCCCGTTCGGATATCTGTTTGCAAGCTTGTTTGGGCGCGGGAAGAATAAAGCCGATAGCCTCGCATCGAAACGCATCTTCCTTCGACATTTGCTCATCTTTCTTCGGCAACTCCTGAAGTCACTTTGCCAAAATCCTGTAGTACAGCAATTCAAACACATGCAGAAATTGTTGTAAGTAGATTTGATATTTTAGTTTACACTCAAGCTGCAAGCCGGACTTCAGCTTTTGGGATTAGAATTGATTTTTTTGCTGCTAGTGCATATTTTATTCTGAAAGATCATGAGAACTCTTATATAGAACTTTTTATCTATACCGTTGTAAGCAGATTTAATAACAATATATGGCTTCTTAGGAGAGTTTATTGATTTCTGGAACTCTTCTATGAACTCATGATACAACTAAAATGAACATGGTCTTCAGAAAATTGCTCGGAATAAGAGGATGCCTATCCAGAGCTCTCGGTCTCCGATGATTTCCTTATGCAAAAAAGTAGGGTATGGGTGTTTAAATGGTTATCGTACATGAAAACGAGATATTGAACACCAAATGGAAGAAGAACAACAAACCTAGATAGAAAACTTGGGGAAGAATATCAAACCTAGGCGATCTATCGGGGAGGTGATGCCGAAGGCAAATCCGAGCTAAATGGGGTTGACGAATAGGAAAACAAGATTTGAAAATGGAGAAAAACATACCTAGACGAACAAAACAGCCGATTGAGCGAAGAAGAGGCGATGTTAGCGAAAAAGTTTCGAACAACCAACTTTCGGCGTTTGGGTTTTGACAGAGTGCTATCTTTGATGAGGGTGAGGGGTTTTAAATGGTAGAAGAGTAAATAGTAAAGTTTAGGTGTTAGATGAGTAAATAATATAGTTTAAGTGTTATGTATGAAAAAACCCCTTGATTGAATTATAACTTTTTTATATTATTGTTTGTGGTCTTATTATTATTGCCAAATCATAGAGCATGTTAGGTGTAGTTCTTTCCTAAATTGATTAACAGCTTGAAGAAAAATGAACAATAATTGATAAAGTGAATAAAAAAATGACATCGAGAAGAATGAGAAAACTAATTTCAATATAAGAAATCATTTTAAAAGATGTTGGATGATATCTTTAACTTGTGTTACTTCCAAAAAGATAAAATGATGCGTGTTTCGACAGATGCCTGTGCACTGTAATAGAGAATTGATCATAGCAAGAAAATATATTATATATCTTTAGGAGATTTAAGGAATGTAGAGTTTAATGAATGTGGCTTGAAATAGAATTTATTTTAAGTTTAGGGGTCAGGATTTTCCAGAGAAGTAAGCTCATAAGATTAATTACATCTCGGGCATGTCTGAGAACACTCTTAATTAAAGTGTCAATTCTTGCGTTCAAATCAAGTAAGATTGATATAAGGCCGGTTAAGTTAAAGTCATAATATATCTTATGGGGACTTAAAAAAAGATGATGAGATGAATGCTCTATGAACTAAGAAAATATAGGCTCAAAAGTGTCAAAATGGATATGAAAGATGGCCATATGGCTCCACATTGGCTATAAGGAGATGCGTAAGAGTGGGGCTATAATGCCTTGAGACAACACTTGTCTAGGAGAAAATGAATGAGCAAATGTAAGAAAGTGTGGACTAAAGTACTGAGTGGGGAAGACGACTCTTGCAAGATCCCATCAGTGGAAAATGATGATCCATATTAGTAATTCTAAGCAATCTAGTCCAAGGAGACCTCATAAATCAAGGTTTCAAACTTATTCTTCGATCGACAAACAAGAATTACACTCCACTATTATATCAAAGAGAAACTTGAATTGAACTTTTAACACCATATGGTGGGTCATGTCAATGCTAGCAAGTCTACTTAGACTACAAGGTTGAGGGGTATAAAAGAAGGGCATCTTCCTTGTGCAACAAAGATGCCACCAAAGGTATGACTTAGAACTCAATCATGTAGGATTAAGAATGCTTAAATATATTCTCATTGTGATAAAAACTATAGGATTAATATGGAAGACCGGGATATATTCTCAATGTGCTAGAGAAGACATCAAAGTACCGTGACTTACAAATTAATTGTATATAATTGATACATCATCAAAAAGTATCTTTATCGGGCACAAATCTCGATGCAAAATCAAGTTGGAAACTCCCAAAATTAAAATTGGGACCATCGAGTTCCGATTTCAGCAAACTTACAGTCAAACTAAACGTCTCGGAAATACAAACTCAATGACACCAAATTGGACTCAGTCTGAGCCCAAATAGGTTCGAATCACGGACCTGAAGTTTTATTGGAAGGTTCAAACCACAATTTGGGTTACTAAACGGTTTCCAAACGCAACATGCTTATAATCGAATCAAGCGTCTCAACGAGACAAATCCAACGATCCCAAGATCGTAGAATTCTAACATCATTAAGACCTTCAAATGTCTAACAAATAGTCCACGATCAAGAGATTCAACATTAACCGTCCTTCCAAGCCACTCCCCATTTGCCCTTGATCCTCCTCCTATTTACAGGCCATGCCACTCTAGGAAATCTATAAATATAGCTCCTTTTATCTTGAAAATGGACCTGAAGCCAAAAGGATTCAAGAGAGAGATTGGAGATCGCTCTTGCCTCCTTGCTCCTCCTCGACCATCGCCTGAGTTCCGTTGGACCACCGCCTGACGTCGTTGCTCCGCCGGACCACCACTTTAGGCCCTCACCTCCGTCTGAACAACACTTGAGGCTCTCACCACCCCCGGACCACCACTTGAGGCCCTCACCTCCGTCGGGCCACCACTTGAGGCCCTCACCTCCGCTGGACCACCACTTGAGGCCATCACCTTTGCCAGACCACCACTTCAGGCCCTCACCTTCACCATACCACCACTTGATGCCCTCACCTTCGCAGGAACATCACTTGAGGCCCTCACCTTCGCCGGACCACCACTTGAGGCCATGAGCTCCACCTGACCACCACTAAAGACCCAGAGCTTTATCGGACCAGCACTTAAGACCCCGAGCTCCGCCGGACCACCACTTGAGGCCCTCAGCTCCGTCAGACCACGACTTGAGGTCCTGAGCCCCATCGGACCAGCACTTAAGAGCTCCGCCGTGTGAGAGCTCGTTCCTTTATTTTTCTCTTTTCTGGATCTGATTTTTCCTCCCAGGATCGTCCAGGCCGATTTTGGATCGTCCTGGGACGATCAGTGCATGGCAAAATCCCGAGAGCAAGGGTTTTTGGCAAATTAATTATCAGCCTGAAATATCGTCCTAGACGATTGGATTTTGTTCACATCGTCCTGGACGATTGGATTTTGTTCACATCGTCCTGGACGATGTGGCGATCGGCCGGGCCGATCAGACTGATGTTATAAGGAAATCATCTCGATTTGAGGAGAGAGAAAAACTTTTTATAAAATCAAAAATATCTGAGGAGAGAGAAAGAGAAGAAAATTAAAGGAAAAGCTTGGTTTCGGAGGCCGCAGAGCGCTTTTCGTCCGTCGCCGTTGTTAAGCAATTTGTTTATCTCGTGGTAAGGACTCCGAATCCTGTTTCTGTTTTCGAAGATGTCGAGTTTTGGTCGTTTTGGGCACATATTTGTGTTTTCGTTACCGAAAAACGCGCACCGTTTTGTATTGACGAAACTTTCACCGCACAACTTTTGATATGTTATTGATATGATTATTCTACAAATTTTGAGTATTTTCTGTAACGATTCTACCGGTTATTTTGGGTTCCACGCGATTTTGATCGAATAGATAATTATCGGGTTGTTGATTGATGTTGCTTCAGTAGAATATAAGTCTTATAATATTGCTGTGAATGTTCTGTGGTAATTTGGTAAAATTATGATTTTAGGAATTTTTGTGTAAATTCCGTATACTGTCGTTATGCCGCTGAATTTTCGTACGATTTATGATTTTTCAAAATTGATGATTTGAATTGATATGCATACGAATGTGACTATATGATTATTGATACTGAAAGACAAGTGGAGCCTGGTTGAACCGTTGGTTGGAGATTGACTTGACCTGTACAGGATGGTGGGCCGACGAGCTTTCCTTTAAACTATTGATCATTGATATAACGATTGGGAGTCATAAGGAGATTGATATGCCTACGGGAACAGAGTGACGACTCTTATTGAACCAACGTATGGATATCTACAACAGCACTATGGATTTCTACAACAGCAATATGGATTATTGATAGCCAATGATTGTACTTGTCCAGTAAGATTATTGTATTGAAATGCATGTGTACGGCATTGACTCATGATGATTTTATCGCTTTATAGATTTGGATTTATTGCTTTTGATTTGGATTTATGGACTTACTGTTATCGTACGATTTCATTGATATTGATTGATACTATCACTATTACTGTATGGATATGGATACTATAATTGATTCATGGATACTATTATTTCTACACTGTATTCGAACTGCTGCTTTTGATTCATTGCTAGTATAGACTTGGCTTTATTGTATTGATTTGATGATTTCATACCAATTGACCAGATAGTATTGTTTTGATTGATACGATTGATTTGACTGATCGATTGATTTCCTACTGTTTATTGATTCTTCTACCGCTGCATCGACTACTGATTTGATTTTCGTATCTGCATAGATTCATTGATCTTGTGCAATAGACTGTTATGAATTTGATTGACTGACATGCATATTGTTTCCAGTATCGTGCTTTGATTTAAGTTATAGGTATTAGGTGACCTGCTGGGCTTTTTGAAGCTCATTATATGTGGTTAATATTTTCAGGTCAGGGCAAGGGAGAAGGAGATTGAGGTTGATCAGGAATCTCCAGGTTTTTTTTCTTTTGGTTATAGTGATTCTTTTGTACTCAGGACAGGATAAATTTCAGTTCATAGTGTAGCTCCTGAGTATTGTATATGATCTTTTGATATTTGAATCGACTCGTATATTGATGTTATAAATGTTATAGATTTTTGCTAGACTGTTTGATTGAAGTTATAGATAGCTCTGGTAAATGGTTTTAATGAATTGATTGAAATTCTTTCCAAGTTAGATCTTGGGGCGTCGCACGCCGGACCACCACTTGAGTCCCTGAACTCCGCCGAACCACCACCTGACGCCGAAACATCTGCTGAACCGCCACCTGAGAACCAAAATTCTGCCAGACCACCAAGTAACGTCGGACTAGCATATTTCAACTTTACAATCGACATTTGTAATTTGATCGCCCACAAGAACGAGTCAGCCCGCTGTAAGCTACTCGAATTCTAGTGGAATCACTTTCTACTGGCCCAAGACCCCTTGGTTTTTCCCCTTTACAGGGTTTTCCACGTAAAAAATCTTGTGTTCTCTGTGTGTGAGTTTGATATCCGTGCAACGCTAAGATGTATAATTTTAACTTTATCACCGCGTATATTCTAGCTCGCAACAATAATCAAGATGCCCAAATATTTTCTCAATATGGAAGAGAAGATATAAAAAGTATGACTTAAATATGATTTTATCATGTATGACCAAGAAAGTGTAAATATATACTCAATGTGGTAGACAAAATATCAAGAATGTTATAAGCATCTTGAATATATCCTCAATGTGGTAGAGAAGAGATGAAAATTGATTGAAAGGATAGGAGTGATGGGACTTTTAACTTGATCACATATGATAAAGCATGTAGAAATATCTCTTCAATAAAGAAGGTGTTAACATAAAACTTACAACTTGATCGCGTGTGACCAACAAAGCTTAATTATCTTCTCAATATATTAGCTAAAATAGAAGCCTTGACTTACATATTGTCTATATTAGGAATCCCATCTAATCAACCTACTCATGTGGGAAAAGTGTAAGGTGAGGCAGGAAATATGTATATGGATACTAAATTTATGAATTATCTCAAAAGTGTATGTGCTCTTAAGGCAATTCATTAGACATGTTGGTGAATATTTGAGGTTTTAATAATGAATGCATAATTTTTTTAATGCAAAAATAAAAATATTAATATTTAAAATTTTCTTTTTAGCATTAAAATACATACTTGTTTAAAATTCTAAGATTAGAAATATGCGTTTTTTGAATCTCAAGCATAGTTGTTCAACGTTATTTGAACTTTTCTAAGAATTTTATATTCATTATTTATTTATTTTAATATGAATAATAATGCAAATGATATTTTTATAATTCTTTTAAATATTTTGTACATATTTTAATAATTGTGAATTGTCTTCAAAACTATAGAAATATTCATGAGATATTTTCTTTTGATTTAATCCAAAGAAAATGTATGAAATCAAAAAAAGTATTAAGATTATTTGTGTATCAAGAAAATGCAAATTAAGAATATCATTAATTATTGAAATTGACATTTTGTCCATATAACTGGTGAGTACTCTAAGGCCTCAATTGGTTCAGCTTATTTTCTCCAATTTAAAGTTGGGTAAGAGTCATCTAATGATCAGCTTGCCATGCTCTTACCAAGCCTCTTTTGGTCATCGACTCGACAATCTTCGTGGCAAGATTGGTGTCTTATTTTCAACTTTTGTTCTTTTAGTCTATATTAAATTGTCATTCATTATGGGTGTTAATTCACTTTCTTTTATTGTTTATTTTCTTTTAGTCTATATATTAAATTGACATTCATGACGGTTGTTAAATTTCTTTTCTTATTGTTTCATTTTTTAGTCTATGTATTAAATTAACATTCATTACGGGTGTTAATTCGCTTTCCTTTTTCCTCACTATTTCAGATCTATAAATATTGTATAAAGCTCTCCATACAAAATTAAGAAGAATACTTTTTTCCTTTTAATTATCTTCCTCTAAATTTATTTCATTCTACTGGCGAAACAAGTCTCATATTATGGTTTAATTTGAAGTAAAGTGAGTGTAAAATACTCCATTTAAAGAGAATATCAAAAATATTTGTTTTTGGTTGGATAGGAAAGAAGTGTAAAGTATTCGAAATGATGTGTAAGCTATTATCGTTCATTTTTAAGGGGCAAAAAAAAAAAAAACTCCCAAAGTTTTGAGCAAAAATCTTTTTGACCATAACTAGGCTATCTTATCACCATCAGTTGCTAGCTGCCACCACCATCGTCGATCACCCTTTGCACTGATAGCTGCTGTCTGCTGCTGTTGCATCTTGATGCTCATCGCAGACGACCACCATAGTTGGCCAATATTGTTGACCAGCCACCTTTGACCATCACTACCACAATCATCGTCAATCGCCACCTGCACTATTGAGCACTAGGCACAATCATATATTTTTTTAATTTTATATTGCATTCATTTTACTAAATAAGAAAGTAATCTCATACAATGATTTTATACTTATACAAACAACTACACATATTTTTAAATATATTAAATTTCTTTTACATCACATCCTTTTCCACCAAATCAAATAGCATGCAAAATATATTTATTAGATTTTTTATCAAATAAATTTATAGAAGTGGGCAAAAATTTTAAAATAAATAAATAATTATTTTATCATGCGAAAAAAAAAAATGTTGCCCACCCTAAACTCTGCCTAGGTCCGCACCTGTCTTAGCCAATGGTAAGCTTTATGATATTGCAATCGATATATCACCAATCATCTAAAAAAATAATATAACTCTCAAGGAAAATATATCATTTGTATTCAAACTTAAAAACTTTATCAGAATTTTATAATTAAATGAAGATTTTAATTTTAATTAATTTTAAAATTAATGAAATAAATAAGTGAGCGAATTTTAAAACAGTAGTAAAGAATGAGATTCACCCTAATCCTTTGTTATCTGCGTCATAAAATTTCTTCATCGGCTGTCATCCACCTATTTTATTTGTCCACATAATTCAACACCTTAACCTACAATGTTCATGCGGAACATTATGGTTCCTTGCCCGGTACGAAAAGTTAGCTGAACAGGCCGACACGAAATGGGAATCGGGTAATAAATTGGAAATAAAAAGAATAATATAATCCGCGAGAAAAAAAACATATCATTTAATTTCACAGAAAATCAGAATATTAGCCGTCCATACTTCGGCATGACACTAATCTTAATCGTTCATTTTCTGTCCAAATGTTTGAACTCGTTAAGCTACAATGTTCATGCGGAGCATTATCTAATTTTGCCCGACACGAAACGTAAGCTGAACCGGCCGACACGAAATCGGAATCGGGTCAAGACGCGTTAAATATATAGTGTCAAGTTGCCGGCCCGAGTCGCTATGAGCTTTGGCCGATTCGGACTTCGGGTCTGACTTCGTGTCTAAGGAGGCATGTTGAAGTTTCGTGACGAGAAAGATAAGATAATGTTCCGCATGAACTTTGTAGCTTAAAGAGTTCAAACATGTGGACAAAAAATGAACGATTACGATTAGTTCATGTCGAAGTATGGACGGCTATTATTCTGATTTGTAGATATGTTTTTCTCGCGTGTTATATTATTTTTTTATTTCCAATTTGTTGCAAATAATGCTGCCCAGTAGGCGTCTCTGTATTGCTCTCTTCGATACCCCCCTTGGGCTTTCCTGCTCACGGCTCCACGCTTCCGAGGCGATTTCTTGGGTTAGGGTTTTCTTTCCCGTGCTCTCTCTTGCTTCCCCTGCCTGCCTATCTGTTTTTTAGCTCCTCGATTCAATGGATTCCTTGCTTGATTTGAATCGGTGCTCTGCGTGGAAGGAAGGGTTCATGTCTGATTGAACTTACTTTGCGTGATTGTTTTTAGGTTTGAGCCGGAAATCAAGGTTGGGCTTATAGGAGATCGGGGACGGAGGAGGAGCTGTGGGGAGGGAGCTTTTGTGGCAAGGACAGGTTGGTTGGCTTTGTTCGGCTTTTGATTATTGCCTTTTATTCTTTGTTTTTTTCTGGGAGGTGGCCGCCGAAAAAAAAATGATGTCTTCTGAGTTTCTTCTAATTCGTTATTTTCTTTTGTAAAAGTTTATGGCTGTATTTTCTTCTCTTCTAATTGCTACCTGTGCACTGCATATTGCAACGTTAGGGTTCCGGTCTCACTAGTTTCCATCTATTTTAGGAGAACTAAGATATTTTTCTGCCCTACTTTCTTATCTAGACAGCACGCCAAAGCGGATATGTTTTGCGATATTTAGCTGTGCATATTTGGTTCATGTTAATCATTTTCGTGGCTAAAATTAGAAATTTAAATGTACAACTCTGGGAATCAGAAGCTATTGGTTACTTGATTCGTTTGCTAAAGCTTTAAGCGATTTGTTCTTCCTTTTTGTTTAAAATGTTTCCTTCTGCTGTAGAATGTTCGAGCCTTTGTTTGCTGTTCTTTATAAGTCAGTTAAAGAAGGTCATGTGAATGATCAGTATTATATTGCGTGCTATTGCATCAGCGTCTAGGGATTCTACTTCTCTTGATCTGCAATTCTTCTAAATTTTGATATTCTACGCCTTTCTACTCTGAAAAGCTGTCTTTTGTATATTGGAACTTCAAATTTTTCTGTGATTCATGTTAGATATGGAGCATGATGAGGCCGGATGCCAAGCTCCAGAAAGGCCTATCCTTTGTATCAACAATTGTGGCTTCTTTGGAAGTCCTGCAACCATGGACATGTGCTCTAAGTGCCACAAGGATCACATTTTGAAGCAGGAACAGGCTAAACTGGCTGCATCATCAATTGATTGTGCAGTGAATGGTTCTGGAAGTAGCAGTGGTAAAGATCTGGTTGTTGATGGGAATTTAGATTTATTAGTTGGTGTGGTTGAGCCTAAACCTATCGTGGTACTTACTACAAATGATTTAACCTTAAGTGATGGCTGTGAAGGCAAGGCCAAAGAGGGCCCCAACCGGTGCAGTGCCTGTAGGAAACGTGTTGGGTTAACTGGTTTTGATTGCCGATGTGGTAATCTCTTCTGTGCTGCACACCGCTATTCTGACAAGCATGACTGCCCATTTGATTACCGCACGGCAGCTAGGGATGCCATTGCCAAAGCCAACCCTGTTGTGAAGGCTGAGAAATTGGACAAGATATAGGGCAACGATGATGTGTTTGTAAAAGCAATATTAGATGCACATCCTTGTGCCTAATGCCTTTGCCCTTTATATTGGGTTCCCTCATCATTGTTGTCCTTTGTTGCTAAAGGTTGGATGTATGGTGCTTTGGTGTTGTAGTTCTGTGAACTCAGTCTCTTGATTTGGGAAAATGGTTTCTATGTTGGTGCATGTATGATGAGCTCTTTTTAAATGACTTGGTGGACTTAATTGCTGTTTATGCTCTTTGAATTTGATCAGATAATGCCATATCCTTTCAGGTTGATTATGATTTTTGTCTTTGGTAATAACCTTCTTATAGCCATCTTTACTTCAGGTTTATATTGCTCCGGTTTGTTGTGATGAGCTTCATGTTTGGCTTGGCATGCATAAACTAGATTTAGTGCAATTATGCTCAGTTGTATGGCTTAGTATGCTTATCCTTGTTTATTATTGTAGTTGTTGGGTTTTTCTTATCCAACCTGTTTGAGCACACACGGTCTTTCAGTGTCTTAATTATCAGCATGTAGTAGATCCATTTCATTTTGGCTGATATATGGCTTGGCATGCTTTTCCATATTTAGCTTTGTGATTGTTGGTTGCCTATTTGACAATTTTATCTTTCACGAATATGTCTATAATCCAAGCTATTTATCATGTTCATCAAGATGTGATATACAAAATTTATTTAAGTTGCTGTTTATTAGTATATCATTCTTATTAGACTGTTGGTGGTGGTGGTGGTGGTGCAAAGAATTGAAAATGAAGTTACTGTTTGAAACTATCTTACCACCTAGAAAATTAATTATCTAGTACTTTGTACAATGCCGATGATCTTGTTAGGACAATAGATGTTTTAGTTTCGGACTATTTTAAGATAGGTCAAGATAGACCTAAAAAGACTTGGTTATAAAATATTAAAAATGACACTTTTTTATTTGATTTAAATGAGAAATTGACTTTAATAGGATACAATCGAGAAAAAAATTATTCATATAGTTGATCTCATGTGTAAGGATAAAGACTTGTTGTTGTTTGTAGGACTTTGTACCAATAGTTTGTCTAAAACCTAGGTTTTGAACTGAGATTCAAGAATATAGTCTTCTGTTTCATTTAATTCAGCCATCTATGAGAACCATCTCTTTTTCCTTTTGCGTGGTAATACTGTGCACGAGTTTGAAACTATGAGAACTATCTCAATTATTATATTTCTCGTGCTTCATCTTACTGGAATTCTAAGTTCATGATGATTTAAGATTTAGAGCAGTATCGTGCTTGAAGCTTTGCTTGATTTATGTGGTAGCAGAGTTTGGTTTTACGTGCTCTCAAACAACATAGTCAAATTTTTAATTTTCTTCTGCTCATGCTTTATACTAACAGTTGATTATCAATTCAGTAGTTTCTTGATTTTCCTATGCTTTGATGTGCTAGGCCTTTTCTTTTAGATTAACAGTTCCTGATTATAGGCTAAAATTGTCCGTAGAGAAAAAATTTTCTTTCCTCTCTTAATCTTTTATATGCTTATTACTTATCAATTATGCTAATATTTTTGTTTATTTTTCTTATGGTTAGTTACAGTGTAAATAATTGGAATAATATAAGATTTATGTGGGCTACCCGTGTCTCTAATTTATGAAGTCCAAAAAGTTTGTGATGACCTCTCATCTAATCAGAGAGGCATTCTAGTGCGGTGGATTGTGTATGCTTGGCATGTATTAAATGTTGCTAAAGGTTCCCCTATAACATTCATGTTGAAGAAAAAAGATTTGTGCGAGTGTCAAGTTCTTGCCTTAGCCCTTAGCAAGCGTTTTATAGACTTTAGTGTGTAAAATACGCCTTGATTGATTGCCCTTTATATTCCCATGCATTTAGCTCTTATCAAAGCTATGTTAAATGCTATATAATTCATCCTAAAATTTTCCCATATTGGAAATATCCTTGATTGCACCAGCTAGTTTCCAAGTTGCGAATACCATTTCTCTTTATTCTTCTGGTCTTCAATATGAATTAATACTAGCTCGCTGACATGTGATAAAATGGGTGTTAAATTGGAGCATTAGCGTGTAGATGTTGTGGAGAAGAATGAATTGGTTGATGTTTGATTAAGTAGTTGAATGCATGATTTACATTTTGGTATATTTCAGTTTTGCAAAACTTTTAAACTTGGATAGATTACTTATTATCCAAAAAAACTAGAGCTTGGCATCATATCATTTTTTTTGCTCGTTACGGTTGTGTATTAGGTGATGTGGTGCATTCTGATTGGTCTCCGGACAGTTCGGTATCCGTATAGAATAGTTTCTCCTTAGCCTGGCCATTTTGTGTTTATACCATTTTATTTAGTTCGTGGTATTGTATTTAGATGTCTTTATTTGTCTTTTACTTGACGAGCATAATTTTTTATTGAATTTATGTTGTACATTTTTATTTTAATCTTTTAATTTGAAATAGTTTGATTCTTCTAATAATTTATTATTTATTTATTTATATCTCTGGTATTCATTATTGGCCCTGTCTGCACTCGGATTAAATGTCTTTGGTTTATTCATTTGGTGGGGGGTTTTCCGATAAAAGCAAAGATCTGATATCACGCAGTCTGGTGAAAAGTGTATCTATTTCAGATACAAAAGCATCATAATTTCCCACTCTCTCAACTCTTTTTATAAAATCTGGATAACACAACAAAATAGTTGATTTTCTTTTTGTTATTGAAGAGAGAAATGCAATGCCAAATTCTTTAACACCCATTGCGTTCCAGGTCCTATAAAAAGTCTAGAAAGTGAGTACGATTGACGTGCCTGTTCTTTACACAAAATAGTTTTGAAGAATTTAGCATTCGTTTCTTTACATTGAGGCCTTGTCTCTATTTCCCAAGAATGATTTAGGGCTAGAGGGACTCCTCTTCTGATGCATTTTACCATAAAGTCACTAGAATTTTCTTAGTAGTCTATAGTTTCTTTGTTCATCTCCATCCCATCATCAATAGAGTTGGGCTAGCATAACCTAGTGTGCCAGTGTCATTCTTTGGTACTAAAAAGCTGCTTTAAGAAGCAGAAAGAAAGCCATCCCAAATGTACTAAAAAGTTGTTTTAAGAAGCAGAAAAAAAGCCGTCTCAAACAAAGCCTGTGTCTATGAATAGGAGTTTAGGTCAATCAGTTCATTCAATGCCATTTAAAAATTAGAAGCCTAGCTATTTCTTACACATTAAGGTTCCTCATATGGTGAAGAGAGCTTTTGCACAGTAGAGATTTCTCGATCCAGAAACATGAATTTTTCAAGGCGCAACAGCAATCTTAATGCCTCAGGAGGTCTAATTTCTCACGGATATATTTCTTCTTTATCCTCTATGTTTCCTACACGCTTTTGATAGATCTACATCTCCACAGATTTTTCCCTTGAGTTCTATGAGATCACCACTACCATTCTCAAACTTGGCTAGAATGGGTTCAAAAATGCAACTTTTAGTCATTTACTTTACCATCTTATGTCCTTTTGGGGCTTCAACTTAAATGAGCGTATTCATGAACTATTTCTTAGTTCTTTAGGTTCAGGATATAGTTTAAAGAAGATTCTACTTTATATCCAAGACAAATTAACTTGATTATACAAGAATTATGATGCATAAAACTTCCAAATTAAATTCAAGGTCATACAAACTCCGGTTTCAACAAACTTATAGTCCAATTGATTGCCTCAATGAGACAAATTCATCAACACCATAAGTAATTTGTTCTAACCCCAAATGAACCTAAATCAAAGCACTTGATGTATGGTTGGAAATTTTGAAATATTAATTGGAGGATCAATGATCTTCAAATTTCTCATGCTTATAATTAAATCGAGCAACTCAACGAGGCATATACAGCTAGCTTAAAGTCATTAAATGTCAACATTTTTAAGATTTTTAAATGTTGAAAGAACATATTTATGATTGAGGGAATCAATAGGGTTGTTTGATGGAGTGTTTAAAATGTTGACTATATTTACGCTCTAAAAAAAAATCTATAAATTAGTTTTTTTTTTCTACATGAGGGGGATTTGGACCTTGGTTTCAGACTTAAGAAAGCTCAATGCTTGAAAAATCTCAAAGCTCCACTCAAGCACCGCTGCTTAACCATTGTTGGACTATCGACATCAGACATCTACCTAATCGATGTTGAAATACTGCATATTTGTTGTCATTAGACCACTGCTTGAATCACTGTCATCAGGCTATTGCCTTTGTACCATCATTGCCCGACTAAGATTCTCCAACCACAAATCCTTAACTACGGTTCTCCGACTATTGTCACTAAAGTACAATCGCTCAACTATTATCACTTGACTACAATTCTTTGACCATTGTAGCTTAATTACAATATCTCGACCACTTTTGTCCAAATATAGTCATTTGACCATCATCATTGAACTATGCATTTCAAACAATCGCCTGATTATCAACATCCAATTATGATCCTCTAACCACAATCACTCGACTACAATCATCCAAACATGGTCACCAGAGGGTGCTTTCATGACCACCATTGCCTAAGTAAGTTTCTTATGCAATTATTAAACTAAGACCCTTTGGCCTATGTCACCCTGCTACACTCCTTCGACCACAATCATCTAACCACTATTTTTCAACCACCAATACCCAACTATAGTCTTGTAGCATTTGTTGTCTGATTATGGTCCCTTGACTGTTGTCATTTGACTATGATCTTTTGATTGGGTGTCGCTTGGCTAAACTAATGTCCATCAGTTTTTTCACGTGCATTTTTCAAGATCTTTAATGTGCACCATTGCACATAAGATTAATATACGTCATTGACACTAATTGTAACTCTCGATGCCATCGCTAAGATTTATTTTGGACTTTTTTATTTTTTTATCCCCTCCTCAAAGTAGAACAATCAGAAGAAATAGCAAACGATCTCTTGATAGTAGCTCTCATTTCACAGAGCTCTTCAAATTTTCACCTTGAAACATGTTCTTTATGTTGTATGTTTACTCTATTTCATCAACATCTTTTCTAATCATAAGTAACTCTGACTCATGATGCCATCATCAAGATTTATGTAGGACTTCTTGATTTTTGATATCCACTCTTCAAAGGAGAACAATCAAAACAAATAGCAAATAATCTTTGTTGATGGCTCCCAATCCAGAGGGCTATTCCAACTTTAACCATGAACCATTTTTTCAATGCTATTTGTCAGCTATATTTTATCAACATCTTCCCTAATCATAAGAAAGTGCATCATTTTTAACTAAGGACTAATACTAGTGAAATTATCTTAAATGGGTCATGCCATCGAGGTCTTTTTTCCTTTTAAGAGCTTTTCACATGAAAACTATAGTATTTTGCAACTCCTCTTTTATTTATGTGCGTGTATTGGATGTTCATACAAAACCAAGATTTTAAACGCTATTTACTATCATGAATATTCTGGCATGCAACAGGGCTCCTCAGCTTCTACTTTTTGAGATTGAATTGATTAATCATATTTATTTGCTTCCCAATATATATATTTTAATTTGCTTAAAATGCGAATGAATTTTCTTCCACTTTCTTATGCACCATATGGTTCCTTAATGAATGGATTATATGCATTATAATACTCATGATATCCTATTTCATATTTCTCCTTCACTTGAAATGAAATTCACTTCTAAGCTAAATATTTCGTCTTCTCTCTAAATAAAAATTTCTTTATAATTGTTAAACATGTTTTATGCTGGTTGACGATTACCTAATGCAATTTTGTACTTTTCTCATCGAGGACTTTTTCCCATATGGTGGGGCAAAGACTTTTTGTCAATGTTAACAATTGTATTGCTGTTATTGTATTATGTTAGGTTCAATTCACTCTTTTTTTATTTAATTAATCAATAATATATGTATAAAGCTTTCCTGTCTGAAATGAGGAATTGCTATGCACATTAGCAATAAGAAGGCTTTCTAATTAAGGGTTTGAGGTGAGAGAAAGAGATGTATGTGGTCTTTGAGCCCAAAATTGACGGTGGAACTATCGAGAGAGGTGAAAACACCAAATTATTCATACTAAACTTTTTAGCTCCCGTAAAGCAAAGAGCATGAGCTCTCTGATGCGAGAAACCCTTGCATTGCTTGCAAAAGGTTTCAAAAGCAACATATATATGATTTCTTGGATCTTCGCTTGCTTTTTCTTTAGAGCATCTCCAACCGAACGTCAAACATGTGTATGGCCAAATCTTCCACCATTTACTTGCGGGTGAACAGCGCGACACCAATATTGGCGTTGCACTGTTCACCTACGCTATTTTGCTCTCTCAACCGAAAAAACGCACGAAAGAGAGAAGGATCGTTCATTCACAGAAGCACATAAAATGACGTTCGATTGGAGCAGCACCACAGCATTTTGGAAAAACATATCGGGTTCGGGTTAACCCGATAATCCGAAATTGACCCGGCTGCCAACCCGCCTCACGTATTCACAATTTTGCATCCACGTTGGCACTACACTGTATGCACCGAAGCCACCAATCGCGCCACACTAGATCTCGTTGTAGTCACCTAGTTGGCGGCGGTCCTGTCGTCGCCAAATGCGTCTTTGAGGCCGCCCTCTCTGTCTACTCCATTGACCCTTCCCCAATCTCGTATGGCTAAACAACTGCGGCGTATGGGTTGACGAATTCCTCACGATGGTCCTCCTCGACTGCCTCCATGCCTCCTAGTATTCCGTCTCCATCTTGATCAATGACGCTACCTCCAAACTTCTCTTTCGCGCCCTACGCCCGAGTGGACCACTGCTGCCTCAAATCCCGCATGCTCCTCACCTGCCTCTCCAATGGCGTATGCTTCCACCAATTTAAATTCCTCAGCATCTTCCGCGAAGACTCCCGCTCCATCCTTTTCTGTAGCGAAGACACTGCGCCACTGCCATCTAGGTTGGTTTTCGGGTCAACCCAGGTTGATTTCGAATTTTTGGGTCAGCTCGAACTCGACCAATCTAGCAAACGAGTCAACCCAAACACAAAATTTTCAGGTCAGGTTTTGGGTCGGGTCAAATATTGACACTCTTATGTCGAGCAGCTTGAATCTGTACGACAGAACTGAGGGAAGGGCTCGAACGCGGGCTCGAATGGTCAAATCACTAGAAGGGCAAGCTCGAACGGCTAAATCACAGGTCAGGCGGGCTCAAACAGCGGAATCACAAGGCGGACAGGTTCAAATACGAGCTTTAATGCGGAAGACGAAGTCTTGGGGCAGAATTTGGGGCAGGCTGCAATAATGAAATCGGAGCTCGAACCAAGTAATCGAGCCGCTCGACTAGCCATTTTCAGTGGAACGGGCCGAGCTTGAGCTAACCTTTTGAGCTCGAAATTTGGCTAGCGAGTCGAGCTCGAGTCATGCGTGAGTCGAGTTCGCTCAACTCGTTTGTACCCTTACAGAAACTAACGCCGCAGCACTTCGAGGTGAACTAAACAATTTTTCTCAAGGGCGACGTCCCTTGATGGTTAATACTTGGCTTTCTCTTTTGTTTTATGTATGAGAATGGTGTAAGAGAGAAGAAAAGTAAGGAAAGAATGAGAGAGAAGAGATATCTGTACAAATTTCTCCCATTTTTCATAGTGGACTTCTTGGTGTGGTTTGACTCCATGGTTCTTTCCCGGTTTAGAGTTTTTCCACATTAAATCCTAGTGCCCCTTACTTTCCGCTGCATTCTTTTTTTGTTTTGTTTTGTTGTGTGGTTTACTTTCAAACATCATTGGCAAGGCACTAATAGGAATGGTAGAAGAAGTGTATGTGGCACTCCTTGCAAATGGAGTGATGAGGCCATGCATCACATACTAGGAAATCCATGGTCCCTAGACCGGACCTCATATGAAAAATTAACTAACCTTTCATCTAGTCAACCTCAAGCTAAGGTAAATTTTGAATCAATTGTAAAATATGGATCATGTTTGGATATGAGAACTTGGTATCAACTCAACATATTCACTAGCCTACTCCAACAACATTTTCTTTTTATTATTCTTTCCATTTAATCGCATAGCCTTTTGTGCCTATCATTCAATTTATTCAATTTCTTTTGTTTTTATTCGTAAGGTCTTTTGTGGGCTTTTAAGATTGGAAAGAATTTAACCAAAAAGCTAAAAGCAAGATTGCTAAGGAATCATCCTTCTTCTAAATTATGAAATTTCTTCTTAGCATTGGTTAAAATTTTACAGTTACAATGAAATCGAGGGTACATGTATTTACTTAGAATTGATAAAATATGCAGAATTGTCTGATCAAGGTCCAAATATAAAAAATAAAAACAGAAACACGCTCTCCAGAAACATATTCCTTTAAGAAACAAAGTTTGAATAAATATGGAAAGATTTAGAATACCACAAAATATATTAGCATGTACTAAACCTGTATTAGGCGTTCACGAAGAGCAGGATTTGGATCTGTTAGAAGACGCTTTGCCACATATGGATATGCAACCTGTAGAATTAGCCGATTAATAACAAAAACAAGGAATTTAATAAATTTATTAAATAGATGAGCACAGCCAAAAGAGAATTTATAAACTAAGGAGGTTGGTGAATGGCCATGGATTTTAAGCTACGATGGATCTATAATATGGTATGTGCATTTATAGAGTAGAAAACTATGATGGTAAAAAAAAGGCTAGAATTTATAAGAATGAGCCCATTGGAAGAAAGAAACTGGCGTTTATGTGTATGTATATATATGTATTGTTGACTTCAAACTGATATTAACAAGAAATTTCATCAAATACAAATATTTTGATAAGAACGAATGGTGAATGTGGATTATAAAGCTTCTTCGAAGAGGATAATGTCGAGTAAGACTGGGTATCTAACACATAAAACTGCAAAAAAATTGTTGATACAATGAGTTCCAATGCTAGCTCTTAACATTTCATTTAGTAGTCCAAAAAACAAGAAATTGATGGTAATGGCAATTATTTACCTCAAGAAATTTAAAATCTGGTTGCAGAGTGAAACATATTCCTTCCTGGGTTAGTAGAGAACGAATAACAAGGGAAAACCTCTCTGGGATCCGGATAGGGTACTGATACACAAGCTGATTGAACTTACCTGTAGAATACAAAAGCTACTCACGACAAATAAAAAAACATCAGACATGCAACGGACTCGGTGTAACAAGAATTTAAACTTTACAGAGCTTAATAATTTACATGACCGGCCGGACTATTAAAGTCCCCGCATCAAAGTCATACGAACTGATTTATTAAATCATGAAAATTTGCCAGGGGAAAAGCAGAACATAACATCTAAAAGTATGTTAGTTTTGGAAGGCACAAAACGCATTATCAAGTAGACTTTTGATAGAAAACACTAAAAGAACTGGCATGAAACTTATCAATATTGGAAAAAACTGCAAGAACTCACCACAAATTTCCACAAAACCTGGGAAAAACAGTAATTTTATTGTAGAAAATGACGAAAGCAGAAGGAAAATAACAAGATACACTTGACCCTCCATTCGAGAGGAGGATCTCTCTCTCCAAATTCTCTAGACGCCGCTAGAGCCAAAGAACTCCAAGAACCCAAACAAAAATTCAGCAATCCTCAAGATGCCCTAACCGTAATACAAAACTTCTATTTAAAGCAAACATATAAATAACTCAAAAGGACTACACAGCCCTCTCTCTCTCTTCTCTAGCAGTGGACCCCACCCCAAGGAGGGAGGGATTTGGATCCTGTGGACCAGCAGGCCTCCGCCTGCTGTAGCACCTGAGTCAGCCCAAGGGTTGGGCCGGCTGGACCGGTCTATCAACTTTCACACAGATTGTCAAGTACAAGTTTGATTTGTTCGGCAAAAACAATCATGGTACTACTTTCTGACCCTCACAGACTCTGAACGTAGTAGAAAAATAATGAGATAGATTTCCCCAAATGTGAGACAGAGCAAGGATGGAATACACAAATAAAATTGACCGCTACATCTATATCAAATCTCATGTCTTGTAGTTAATAATAATAGTTAATTAAGACACAAGCAAAAAAACTTCAAAAAAAAATATTTTCAAGCAATTCAATCCGTCCTCGCAAGCTTCCACGGGTGATAGTCGCATATTTTGTACGTGCACAATAAAATCACGAGTTAAACATGAGAAGCTGTTGTCCACTGCAAATGCATTTTAGGGGATTAGCCCAACTAGATGTTCAAAGTAATTCTGTAACACTATTAGTCTTATATTCAATAAAGTTATGCATAAAATTAGCAAGTGTCTAAGATTTCTGAAACAATAGTGTCTAAGATTTCTGAAACAACTTTTTAACAGTCAAGCTAAAATTGCTCAAACAGATATTCATATATGGAAGAAACAGACAAGAATTACCAGTAACACTGCGAAAATTGAAGTCAGCCAATCCTTTTCCAACTGAATTCTGCCAGATTGCTTCTAATGCGGGAATAATTGGAGAGACATCCGTTCCACTAGCAAGGAAACCAAGCCTGGTAAAGTCATTTGCCATCTCAACATAGTCCTCATTTACCGCATGAACAACAGCATCGATCAGAATTTGTTTATTTAGCTGAAATTTAAAAAAAAGATAAATGAAGTTCTTCAAACAATCAAGGACAAGCCTGTAACTACACTAAATTTTGTTAAATCAAGGCAATGGAAAAAGGGGAATGAACTGCTGTGCGCTAGAGAGAGAGGGTGGGGGCTTGCAGTTCAATCCATTTGAAAGTTAATTTTACAAATACATTTTATTATTTTAATGACTTCGAACATCAAAACACCTGAACGGATAACATAATGCTTTACATGGTTGGACTTAGGAGTGCAACCGAGTCAAGCCGACTCGTGAGCCAGCTCGAACTCGACTCGGTAACAGGCTCAACGAGTCGAGCTTATCGAGCTCGCGAGTCGAGCTCGAACACAATTTCGAGTTCGAAGGCTTATCGAGCTCGAGTTCTACTCATCGGCTCGACGGCAGAGCTTGCGAGTGGGAAATCAAAATTGACGTAGCTCACAAGCAGGAAATCCAAATCGACGGAGCTCGCACGCAAATCTCAATGGCGGACAAGCTCTGGACGACGACAGCGGACGCGTGTTTGGGAAGATGATAGAGAAGATATGGACAATGACGTTCGACATTTTCGACTACGAGCTCAGGTCCTCGGGACGACGTCGTCGGAGTTTCGGAAGACGACGAAGAAGATCTGGACAACAACGTCCGTCATTTTCGACTACGAGCTCAGGTCCTCGGGACGATGTCGCCGGAGTTTGAGAAGACGTCGGAGAAGATGATGAGCTCAGTACGAAGGATATCAATGACGGAGGTTGGGAAGACGGATGCGATGACAGACGAGGGACGATAGAGGTGACGAGTTCGACAACGGAGCTCGAGACTGAGCTCTGCAAGCCGCTCGAGCTCAAATTTTGAGCTGGACTCGAGTTTGAGCTCGAGCTCGGTATAATAGTCGAGCTCGACTCGAACAATCCCTGGTTCGAGTGGTTCGAGCTCGACTCAACTCGTTTCACCCCTAGTTGGACTTCAAGATTTGTAAATGTGAATCATGATAATCTACATTGTCAAAACCACAGACAGTTGCAATGAACTCCAATATGTTACGATTGGTAATGAAAACATTCAAACTTCTCTCAATGTATGAACTGTTCATACAATGAATAGATACTACATATTTCAATGTAATATGATTCCTAAAATCTGATTAAAGAACATATGACTGTACAACACATTAAGATCAAGATCATGTGTTTTTATGTTTACAATATAAATATAAGTTAAACTCTAACATCCATATGTAGGAATAGACATGATGAGACAAGGGCAGGGACCATATAAAAGTAAAATGCTTTCAAAATACAGATATGCATAAAAGGAAGAAGATGTGAGAATGAATGCTAACATCTAAGAAGATAAAGTCTGATTTTGGGAGGCTGTATACCTTGTCCTTAAAAGGTGAAGACGTATTGCAATGAAATTAAACAAAAGTTACAAGAAATGTACTAAGGATCTGCAGTAAGAATTCAGAAATAAAAGCTAGGATAGCAAAAGGCTTTAAAAGAACTGGCGGGATATTATTCTATGAGAAATTCAAACTATTCAAAATGCATTAGCATATACATAATAAACCAAGGAATACTTAAGCATTACAGAAAGAGCTCTCAACCCTCATTTCACGTCATAATATGTATATCACCTGATAGCTGCAAACTCTGCAAAGAAGTAGACAAAGAATACTAAATCTGGCAATTGAAACGTCAAACTTAAGAGCAAATGTCATCAAACGTAGAGCCTTAATAGTACCATGAAGCCAAGCCAGTCTTTGAACTAAATATTATGGTTTATGGGATCAAGCGATATGACCTCTCAGAATTCAAGTGTTGTGACCGGTTTGGAAGCAAATAAAACTTTAGAACAATGGATTAAATTTTTAAAAGAAAAAGAGTATAGAATTCGTAGAACAATGACTGAATGCATGAGTGCAACTTTGGTGGATATGAAAATGATAATTATCAGTTGATATTACTAGAAGATCAAGTGGTGCTAATGTGATTAAATAACTTGAAAATGTTACAAAAACAATAGGATATAAATAACAAGATAACTTCTAAAATTAAATATAGGGGACAAATAGAAATTTGCATTAATATTATCATGTATTAAGAGAAGATCATGAGGAAAAAATATGAACTATTCTATATGAACACAATTTTCAAGAAAAAACAAAAGCCAAGTTGGGAGTGGAGGATATGAAGAAATTAACATAGATCTATAATAAAACTAACATTGAGAGAGAGAGAGAGAGAGAGAGAGAGAGAGAGAGAGAGAGAGAGAGAAGGAGGGAAGGGGAGTGATTATATCAAAGGGATAGTGAGAATAGCACTTATGAATGATAAAATTGTGAAAAATAGAATAGATTGTACTAAGGCTCCAGCCATTCATTAATATAAACAGCCGACATCAATATACCTCACAGTCCTAGTTTCATTTTGTCAGCCCAAAAGGCAAAATGGTTTTAGCTAGATATGCTCTTGAGGAACCATCCAGATCCGTAGAATATGTGGCACTTCAAATTTCAACCAGAATTTGAAGTCACCAATGATAAAATGTTAGGTCTGGAATGTGTAACAAACAAGTATATCTTCAAGTGCATTCGGTAAACTACTAAGCTAGCCGGAAAATGTTATGAAGCTTTTCATTAGAGAATCTTTCTCCCCGCACTTCCCACCATTTATGCTAGCTAAAGCAACACACAATTCAACATGAGATGACACCCCAAATAAAGACAGGCCACATTCTCCAAAATTAAAAAAATCTACAAAACCTAAAAAATTAAGTGGGAGATGAATCAATTAAAACTAGGTCTTTCCCCTTATTATCAGGAACTGAAATTTGGTTAATATAAACATTTATTTCGTTACAGCAAATTTTGATAGAATAATTTAAGTGATGAGAAAGAATTATTTAACTGACCTGACTAAGCACAGCTACATTTCCAAAGTCTACATAAGCTATACGACCATCACGCATTGCAAAAATATTTCCAGGATGTGGATCTCCATGGAACAAACCAAATTCTAGAAGCTGGCGTAAAGCAGCACTTACACCAACAGTCAAAAATCCATTTACATCAATACCTGCTTCTTTGATGGCCTGTTCACAAACGTAGAAAAGAAAATCTTCAAAATGAAAATATAAGAAACAAGCTAGACTATTGAAAGGAAAATGCTCATTTTCTCATCTGTGTTTATGCAACTAGATGTCAAAGTAATTCAAGATTAACTAATACGGGAATTCTAGGAATGATATCTCTAGACCCACTGATTGCAAGCAAGATTATTGGCATGTCATAAAAATAAACAGCAAGAAGACATTGAACTTGAGATAATAAATAGTTGAAAAAGATAATAATTGTCAGACCTGGGGGTCAGTGCACCGAATACCATCAATCCATTCCATTACTAGAACACGGGAGCCTGAAAGTTGTGTATAAACTTGAGGAATTTTGACAGTTGGGTCATCTTTGAAATTCTCAAAGAAGTCCTCAATATTTCGAGCCTCCTAAAGTTCAAAAATATTTCATGTTAGATAAAGAAGAACGGGAAAAGAAGCTATTTTGGAGCACTAGGGATGCAGATAATGATAAGCTCCTATGTTAAGTATCATCTATGATAAGTATTTGCAAAAATTATATAAACTTCGATATGACATTAAAAATAGCCTTTGATCAGGCATGAATTGATGCATATTTGACTTAGAAACTTCCAAAACTAAATTCAGGAACATCTACTCCGATTTCAACAAATTTATAATCGATATGAACATCTCAACAAGATAAATCCAATAGTACCAAAAGTAGTCCAATGAGTCCGATGCGACTTGGAAGCAAAAACAACAAATTAGATAAGAAGAAATTGCATGAACACAAGAATGGGAGCAAATTTTTTATTACTCCAAAAATAATGAAAGATATAATTGATCTACTATTCGAGAGGTAGATTGACTCTCCCACAAACCCTAGCCGCCGCTAGAAATAACTCAAAAGAGAACTACAACAAATACAAATCTCATTATGCCCATAAAACAACTCAATTACCCTAATATAATCCTTCCTACTTTCCTCCCAAATCTAAATTAAAATCAGCCCTCTTTCTCTTAATAAAAACATTTCTTAATTCAAATCAACTCTCTTTTCCTAAATTCAAACCTTCTTAAACAGCTCCCTATTGATTCCTCCTTTTTACATAGCTCCCCTAAGCCCCAAAAGGGAGCCAAACTTCCCCCTCTTGCTGCCCCTGGTTCCCCCCAGCCACATGGCTGGTTCGGCCTGGGCTGGGCGGGCCTGGGTTGGGCCGGCCTGGTCTAAGCCAGGCGTATCAGAGCCCGAATAAGCCCAGATCAAACACTTCAAGCGTAATTAGAAACTTCAGGTCATTAATTGGAAGACCAAATGATCTCCACATTTTACATGTTTCTAATCAAATCAAGCATCTCAATGAGACAAATCTAACAAGCTTAAGATCATTAAATTCTAATATCATTAAGATACTTAAGTGACGAAATAATGTATGATCGAGTGAATCAATATGGATCATTCAATGACATGTTCCAAATTTTATCTATATTTACAGGACATACCACTCTAAAAAAAATCTATAAATAGGCATCCACTCTCTACATGAGAGGGAGCCCGTAGCTAGTACTTTAGCTTCATATTCAACAGAGCTAAAAGGCTCTAAGAATTATACAGCTCCACCCAAGCACTACCGCATGAGAGGGAGCCCGTAGCTAGTACTTTAACTTCATATCACCTTGAGTGCTTCGGCTAACAGCAGCTTAGCCCATTCATTTCTTCCCCAAATCTGCCTTTCCCGTGGATAGATTTTGAAAATTTCAGCCAGCTTGGATGGGAACGTAATTGGGTTTTGGTTGACTGATTGGTGGAGTATTAATTACTCAATTAATTCAGAGGAAATAAATTAAAACCCAAGCCAATGAAAGGGGAAAACGGGTATGAGAGGGAGGAAATTAATTTCCTATCCAGCAGCAATCAAGTTTTGGAAACTTTCCAAAAAAATAAGCTGTTACGGGAAAAGGCTCCAACTCAAATTCTGTAGTAAATTAGGAAAGAAGATATGAGGGGGAGAGCAAGGCCAGCAACATGGAGGATAGGATAGGAAATATGAGAGGAAGGGGGACGGTGAAAAGAATAGAAAAATCTGAGGAATTCCTATTTATGATTTTAGATTTAGGGAAGATTTAATTTAAATCCTCTTGAATTTAAAATTCAAAATAAATCTAAATCAAATACTTCCCTAAAATAGATGAACTCATTTAGGAAATATTTTGAATTCAAATTTGAATGAATTTGAATTTCAAATTATTTCCAATTGATCCCAACCTAAATTAGGAAACAAAATAAGAGAATCAAAGGGAGTGGGGCCGGCCTAGGAGAATGGGATGATGAAGGGAGGTGGCCAGCAGGTTGGGAAGAGGTGGCCGGCGGGATTGTGAAGAGGTGGTCGGTGGCTTGGGTGGAGGATGGGGATGTTGACAAGGAGAAGATGAAAAGATAACGAAAAAGAATAAAACCACGAACCCGGCCGTCTCCAAGGTTGGTGGGTGATACGATTTCCCTCTCCAAGGGATCTCAAATCACGAGCCCGGACCCATCCTGCGGCTGGTGAAGATTTAGATTCCTCCCATAGGAATCTCACTCTCGTCCTCTCTCAAGAACACAAGTGCAAACACACAAATTTTATTATAATTCCATCATGTCCTAATACAAGAGCAAAGGCCTCTATATATAAGCCTTAAAAGAAACTAAAAGACAATTTTGCCCCTTGGGCTTACATAAAACAAATCCCTTAAGTAAGGGTAAAAAAAGAAAAAATGCATAATTAAATAAAAATTACAATTAATAAAATAAGATAAAATGAAGGGATCTCGGCCGTCGATCTTCAGCTCCTCGGATAGGCATGGACGGTTGGATGTCCGCATCACGATCACCCGACTACGATCCTTGGACATCCATCTTTAGATTATGATACTTCGTCCCCAAAGTATAATCCTTTGACTACAATCACCAGATTAAGATCCTCTTATCATTGTCACCTAGCTACATCAATACCCACTGAACTAGTCACCTACCATCACTAAAAATGTCGACGTGCACCATTTCTTTAGCCTATACGATCGATGCATGCCATTAACATAAACTCTGACTCCTTATATTAGCATTGGGAATTATGTTGGACTTCTTGGTCTCTTGTTTATCCTTTTCAAATAAGTGTTAAACAAACAAGCAAATGACCTATTAAAGACAACTCTCATGCTACAGGGCTTTTCCAACATGAACCACATAATATGTTGTATACATTATATTTTTACTATACTGAATCAATGTCTTCCCCTGAGGAAGGGCATCATTTGTAATCAATGACAAACATTATTACAATCATTTCAACTAGTATAAGCCTCGTGAGTTTTCCCTTTTTCGAGTCTTCCGCGTAAAAAATCAATTATCTTTTGCAACTCCTTTTTTGTTTGTGTGTTGAATCCTCATACAATGTTAACTCTACCACCATGAATATTTTGGCACTCAAAACACTTCCTCCTTTAAAGTGCAAAATTTGCCAAACTAGCAGTATGAAAGAGCATGCACAATGCATCAAAGCTACAGCAAATGGGAGGTATAAGCTTAACCCTTGATTACAAAAAGTTATTTCCATAGCTTGAAACTTTTGTTACGAATAAAATCACACAACAAAAACAAATAAAAAACTAAACACAACGAAAAAGGACACAAGGATTTAACGTGGAAAAACCTGAAACCGAAAAAAATCCACGGAGCCACACAACTCCAAGAAATCCACTATGAAATTGGGAGAATTTGAATAGAGATCTCACTTCTCACACTCTCTCTTTTTCTCTCTTCGTATCACGCACAATTATGTTCTCAAAATAGATGGAAGAAAAATTGTTTAAACCTACTCGCGCACTGCCCCCCCAGCTCGACTGACGGAATTGAGATCTAAGTCAACAGTACAACCCGATTATTCGATACAATTAGATTCCACACAAAACTAACACCTTTGACCTCCGGATTATAATGGAGGTTGGAGGTAATCTAAAAACCATTACAAAACAGCCCTAGTAATTGTCTATAAAAGGAAATCAAAGGTTATAAACAAGATCATTCTATTTTTGTATTCTTTAAAAAGAATCACAGGATATAAACAAGATCATTCTTGAATTCTTTGAAAAGAAAAAAGTGAAGAAACCAAATATAAATCACCACATAATAGAAAGCATGAAAACTTACTAGAGTGAAAAGGTATGCAAACTTACAAGTGTGTAATCAAGTTCTTCCAGAAGCTTTTCCCCAAACTCATCAACAATAAGCTCTGCATTGCAGCCAAGCTTCCGAAGACTGATACCATTAAGAAATGAAGCCAGAGTACGAAACAGGAAAAGATCTCTATAGATAATAGGCTCAATTCCAGGCCGTAGTACCTGTAAATAGGAATATAATGAGAAGATATCATGTCTGTAATAATAGTAAGTGCATCATGAAAGTGAAGCTTAAATATCACAAAGCTATAAAATTGAATTCCAGTAAAAACCAGAACCAAGCAAAGCATGGATGCAAATCTAAAAATTTATACTCAACGGATACGCATTCATGTTCATTGATGTTTAGTTATTTTATTTTATGTTTTCTACTTCATTTCATTATAAATATGTCTAATGATGGAGTCTACAAGAATGAGATGTGTTCTCTGATGTTTTGATTACCATAGTTGGCTTGATTTATTTCTACAAGTTTGTTCTGATTCAGCTCTCTATGAATTCAAGAGGAGCGGACTTCCTATCCCTTGTTTTCAACACAATGGATTCCATTGTTTTGCGGTTGCTTAGTGGTTCATTGAAATACCCATCCAACTCTCGCTACCATAGAGCTTGTCACAAATTTGGAGATTCTCTCTTGTGTTTCATGTATTTTACCTATTCAATTGCTTCATTTGCTATCTTGTTTAGCTACTGCTTCGTTGTGTTTCCTTCTATAGAAGTTACGCATTGTTGTGCTTAACACCTTTCCTATAGTAGCTATATAAGGCCCCTGTTGCTTCATCATTTATTTTAGGTTGGATTTATAATCAATCATCTTATTAAAAAAAGGAGAATATAGAAAGAAATGCATTGTGAATAAAAATTTATCAGCCATTACAACCTTAATAGCCACATCCTCTCCAGTCTCCCGAAGTGTGGCTCGGTAGACCTGGCCCAGACTTGCAGCAGCTATAGTTTGCGGTGTAATCCTGCTAAAAATCTTTTCAAGAGGTTGTCCCAGCTCTTCTTCAATAATGTCAAAAGCTTCCTGCACACTTCGATGAAGACAAGATTTGCCACCAATCCTAAGGAAGTTTTCTTGACAAAAAAAATGGTAGAACTTGTCATAAGCACACAAGCAATACCTGATTGGGAAAAGGCGGAACATCATCCTGTAGAATACAGAGTTCATTCATGTAATCCTCTCGTATTATGTCTGGCCTGTTTGCCAAAACCTATCCCAACATCCAAAACCACCATTAATGATCAGCAAAGTGCAGTTAAGAAGATTGCTACATTAATTGCAACAAGTCGAAGGCTACAATTAACTTGAACCACCATGAATGGTTATTTGATTGCATCGACATTACAGTTGGCCTATCAAAATGTAACATACCAACTTGGAAACAGTAAGGCATAGAGTTAATAAAATAAACTATGTTGGATGTTCATATACCAAAGAGTGTCACAAGAGCAAGAAATAGCATTTGATGCAAACTTATACTCGCTAAAAATACAGAATATGAGTGCCGAGATGAGTGTATTCATAAGTTGGGCGCTTCTTTTACTTTAGTTTTTTTTTTTTTTTTTAATGTTCATTGAAAGCATGCTTATGATGATTCCCTGTAGAGAACAGGTTGTTCTCTCTTCTCTAATTTGATTATCTATTGGTCCTAGTCTAGACATTATTTTCCATGGTTTAGCTATTTGGTCATTGTCCTTTATGATTTTGCAACTTACGTGATTATTAAATTATCATTTGTGACAATTTTATATATTTTCTGGTTTTCAAAAATATATATAAATTTTACCTAAATTACAAGATTTTGGAAAACGAATTTGCAAATTTGTACATGATTTGTGCACCTCATCATAAATTTACATTAGAAATTCCTAAATCCTATTGCGTCCTACATCATATTTGGTATACAACAACAACAAGCATTTATCCCACTAAAATATGGGGTCGACTGAATGAATCATTTTTCTCCATTGTGTCCTGTTAAGGTTCAAATCCTTATCTAAATCTAATAAAGATAGGTCATTTATAGTATTTTTTAACCAAGTCTTTTTAGGTCTACCTCTACCTTTCTTAACATAAGTCAAATCTAATACATCTATTTTCCTAACTGAGTCATCGGAAGACCGCCGTTTTATGTGACCAAACCATCTAAGGCGACTCTCTCTAATCTTATCTTCCATCGGAGCTACTCCAACCTTTTCACATATATGCTCATTTCACATTTCATATCTTGTCTTTAAGAGTAAAGCCACTCATCCACCTGAGCATCCTCATCTCTGCAACACTTAACTTAATATTATGCTTCTCTTTTAATGTCCAACATCTGCACCATAAAGCATTGCAGGTCTCACTACCATCTTATAGAATTTTCTCTTATGTTTGAGAGGAACTTTCTATCACATAACAAGCTCCATGCATTCCTCCACCCCAACCATCCAACTTGAATTCTACTAATAATATTCCCATCTATTTCACCATCACTCTGAACAATAAACCCACGATATCTAAAATGTGTGCTCTTATTAATGACTTAATATATTAAAGGATTCGTGTTATTATTATTCGACAAGTTTTACGCTGGTTGTCGACTATCTAACTCAACCCTCCACTTTTTTCATCCAAGACTTAAGACCTGGCAATAACAGTGTTCAAAATTATATTCCTACATTCGATGGTAGATACAATCTTAAAAAATTTCAAATTGGACTTAAAGTTTGGAAGGCCTCTTGAACATTGCAATATTTTTTATTCCAAAAAGTAAAATGTACTAAATCAAAATTTGTTGGATGTGCTAAATCATTTTGGAAAAGTGTTACTCTAAATCTATATGGTTTGTATGAAACATAAATTCAAGGAACAATATTTACTATTCAATGGATATAGGGACTAATTGTATCATCAATTTAATAATTATAAATAAGATAAATATGGAGTTTTTGAAGCTTTTCTCATCTATTCCTCTAGGAATTAATTACAGTGCATTCTCATTTTTCATTAGGAATTCTTTTGCATTTTTAGCATGTCATTATTGTATCGCATCATATTGCATTATTCATTTGTCATCTACATAATTTGCCTGAAGATATCAAAAAAAGAAATACTAATTATGATAATTATAAATCTAATACTGATGTGAATGGTTGGGATAAGGTTAGTCAGGATGATAAATTATAGCCATGTACTATATGCATACGTATTATAAATGAAAATGAAGAACAGTATATACCAAATTGATAAATTCGCCATATAAGAAAGACTTTGAGACACGAAGCAGCAGTTAATTTCCAGAAAAACTAGACACGCAAAACGAAAGAAAAAAATCACCTGCCCAACTTTGATGAACGAAGGTCCAAGGTCGCATAGAAGGTTTCGGAGCTGACGAGCCCTGTATGGCACCACTTCCTCGTCGCGTCCCACAAGACAATCGTAGGTGAGGGCCGACCAATAAAACCCTAAATTCCAGACAATTTCCACTCCTCTTCCGATAAGAGACAATATCGCCCCTCTAGATTCCAGAACCTTATTCCTAACCTATCAAAAAGGAAATTAAAAAAAAAAAAAAACAAATTTTGTTTATTGATGAACTCCAAGTAGAGAAAATGGAACACATAAGTGAGTTAATCTTGGCTTACTGCTTCGGGAGTGTATTTCCGAAACGGAATGCAGACCCCGCGCTCCAATTCCAGCTGCTCCATGGCGTCGTTCGTCTTTTCCGCGAAGGCGTTGATACGCCGTGACCATGACGCCGTGCCTGATTGGGGGGTTATCGCAGACTCAGCCATGACCCGCACGCTTCGTGAGGAACGGGAAGGTGCGGTGCTCCACATCTCCGAGGATCGCCGGCAACTCCTCGGCGGCCCAAAGCCATGGCCCAAGAAGCGACGGGACCGCCATGACACGTCGCCGGAGCTAGGGAATTGAACGGTACAAACTTCCATTATAATCAATGAAGAAGAAAGAGATTCAGAGGAGAGAGAAGAGTGGTTAGTTGCTAGTAGGAGACTCCGAGCTCTCGAAGGCAGCTCGGAGAAAAATTGTAGGAGATTATCGACGCGCCATTGTTTTATTAAATTGTTTATCTGTTTAGCGGTTTTATTTTTTTATTTATGTTTATCTTAAATGAATAAAAAAAAAATGTGGACCATTGATTTATGATAGCGCCGTCTATAATTTATAAGATAACCATATGGACAAGCGAGGGTTTTGTTCAAGTAACTTTTATTTGGTCCGGTTAACATATAGAGCTACATTCGGCCGGCATTAAGATCGCAGGCACAAAACAAGAAATACCGAGCAATATCAACAATAACGAGAAATTTCATTATGTGAAGATAAAATACCGAGTAATACCAAGCAATACCTAGTTTTTTCTAGACGGTGCTATCTAGAAAAACTCGGTATTTTTTGGGATTACTATGTATTGCTCGGTATTATTACTCGGTATTGATCTTCACATAGCGGTATTCCTCGTTATTACCAAACAATACCTATCAATACCGACCAAATATCGAGCAAAAACCGAGTAACAATCCTCTGACCTAACGTAGAGCTACGTCCGGTCAGAGGAAGTAATAAAAGTTCTTGTTCAAGGTCCCGTTTTGGGAGAAATTATTACATCCGGTCAAAAATCAAACGATCCGAATGTATACCGAGTAATACCGAGTTCAAAATACTGAGTTTTAGGTGATGTGGCGCGTGGTTATTGGTCTCTGAACTCATTCGGACACCAGATGTAATAATTGATCCCGTTTTGGAGTAATTATTACGGACACCGAATGCGTCCATAGATTCAATAATCACACGCCACGTCATCTGGAGCTCGGTACCGAGCACTAGGTATTGCTCGGTATATGTCCAAATTTTCAGTTTTTTGTCCGGACGTAATAATTTTCCACCGTTTTGGATCTCTTTCTATTATATTTTTTATATTTAAATTTTAATATGAGTGAAATTATATTTGATATTTCAAAAATATACAATTTTTTTATATTAAATATTACATGAGAAGGCAAATGATGATCAAAATAATTTTTTATTTAAAAA